AATGTGTTAATTATTGAAACTGTCCTACCAATTTGGTTTGAAACTGTCTCATTGCTATTTGTTTCTCAATAAAATTATGGGGAAAAAAAGCAATAGAGACATATACAAATTAGATCAGAATCACCCAAAGTCCTCCTCAAGCTCTCTTACCTGAGACTCTTTTAATGCTTGCTTCCCCCACCAAATTGGGTTGGTGTCAACTACAATGACCAGAAGATTCAATTCATCTTCTGAAAATATTTGGAAGAAATAAAATTTAAAAGCATTAGCCTCATGAAATGAAAGCTAACAATCCCAATATGTAAATTAATCTCATTAAATGTTCATCATCCTCCACCCTCCCCTCAACAGAAGGTCAAGTTCCTTTAAAGATGCAAGCTCACTGGGTCCTCCGCAAGCCCCTTCTGCTGCCTCTACCCCTACGCATACCACAGTGCAAACTGCAATGGCAGGGACTTTTGTCTTTTTTTTTTTAATTTATTATCAACTCCTAGCACACAGCAAAAGCTCAGTAAATCTGAGTGAACCCCGAGGTACTGGGGTTGTAACTGCCTGAGCAAAGACAGAAGGCTCTGGATAACCCAGAACTGGAACGCCAGGGGAAAGGTTTCAGGTAGAGTCCAGGGAGACCCAAGAGCCAACATGGCCCAGTGTCCAGTCAATCACAGAGCAACAAGACTGATCATGATGAAAACTAACTGCGTTTTCTTGTTCTTGTTGCTTGATTTTTTCAGACAGGGTCTCAGTATATAGCTCAGACTGGCCTTGAACTCACTATGGAGCCCAGGCGGGCCTTGGACGTGGATTTTCCTGCCTCGGGTCTCCTGAGTGTTGGGATTACAGACTTACATACCACGTCTGGCTCTTGGTGCTACTCTAAAGGCATATTTCATAATGCATACTGTTTTACGTTAGATGAACTATGATACATGCTAGTCCCATTTTTCAAATGGAAGTAACTTGCCCTGAGTCACATGGACTCTTAGGAAGTGAAGAAGCCATTCTGCGGGCTCTCAGTACCACGACCCTTCATGGTGCTCCTGCCACCCTGACGACCCACGACACAACCGACTCTGTTCTAACAGCAGAGCACTCAGCAGCAGCCAATTTTTGTTGGGTGTTTCCGGTTACTCTTCCCAGGCCTCCCTCCTGCGCTGCGGATTCTCTAAGGAATGTTGGGGATGGGGATGGAGCCCAGTAGCCAGGCTCTAGGCTGGCATGCACAAGGCCCTAGGTTCAAGGAAAAGGAAAAAAAAAAAAACCTGGCAGCTCAAGCAGCCCCAGGGCCTTGCGCACTTCACAAGCACTTGCGGAAGTCTGCAAGGCCTTTCAAGTCTCAGTTCCAAGACATCCCCCTTTCCAGGACTCTAAATTAGCTCCTCCTCGATCCTAGCCACCACAGCGTCCGGTAATTTTGTCCTCAGCACTCGTCACCTTTTGGAATTCATTTTATCTCCTTGCCCATGGCTTCTTCCGCCCACTAGGCTATAACCTCCCTCCTGCCTCTCTTCCCATCACCTTCTCTTCGGTTTTCCCAGTGCAGAAAACAATTCTCGGCACAGAAAAAACAATCCAGAAATATTTTCTGAAAGAATGAATGGACAAGGGCCGGGGAGATGGCTCAGTGGAATAAGGCTTCCCTGGCAAGCGCAAAGCCTTGAGTTCAAGCCCCGGTTCCGCCAAAAAAAAGAACGGACAGAACGGCCCCTCTTCTAAACAACGAACTGATTCCGCCCAGCTCAAAAATGCAACCCACTTTGACAAGCCCTGGTCCTGCAGAGTCCGCCCAGCCCTGGGGTCTAGGTCTATTCCTGCGCATCTCTCACCATCGGAGACCATGGCGACTCTCAGTCTGACGGGTGCCCTGAAGCCTGCGCACCCCAACTTCCGGCGCTGACCAGTGACGCAAGAGGCAGGCCGGTTGCCTACCCACGGCCTGGCCTCCCGAGCGCCGGAAGTGACGTAAAAGACGGGCGCCGCGCTGTCAGCGGCAGGCATGCGCTCCAGACTCGCTAGAAACCAGTCGGTGGTTCCGGATCTCTCTGGCTTCGTCGCCTGGAGGGCACCATGGACGAAAACGGTAGGTCGAGATGGGCCAGGACTGTTGAGCCCTTCACAGGGGTTTCCCCAATCTCGCATTCCTAGGCAGGGGGTCCTTGAAAGTCACTGTCGAAGTTGTGGCTGCTGCCTGGTTCTGTTTCTTGCAGTCAAGTAAATTCCCTTTGCTACTCCTTTATCCGAGGGGTGGGCCATGAGCATCCGCAGGCCCCACTCCCATGCACACCCCTGCCGAAACGTGAGACTTCGGACAGAGGGCGCAGGCCTTTGCGTTCTCGATGTCTTCAAGTGTGAAATACAAGCAAGAATCCCTGACCCGCTGTATCGACCATTTATTAGAATCAAAAGGCATCTTTGCTCTTCTCATTCATTATTGTCATTTAGGTATTTTATTAAGTTAAAAAAATGTAAATTAATATATCGTGTATATAAAAAAAAAAAGTGGGTGGAATTTTTCGTGTGTGTAGGCTTGAATTGGTACAGACTGGAGGAGTACATGACTATGGGGTCCTCTCAGAACTTACTGCCAAGGGGGCCGGGGAGATGGCTCGGTAGAGAAAGCGCTTGCCTGGCAAATGTGCATGGTCCTGAATTCAATCCCCGGTACCGCAAAAAACAAAACAAAAACTTCCTGCCAGGAAGAAGTGCAAGAATAATTAGACTATCTGAGCCCTAGGCTTAAATTTTATGCCTTGCACACTGATAGTTTTGGTTTGGCTTTTTTTGTTTAGTTTGTTTTGTTTGCGGTACCAGACTCAGGACCTTGCACCTGCCAGACAACCAAGTGCTTGAGCTGCTGAACTATATATCCCTAGCACTGGTAACTTTTTAAAAATTAACTTACTTTTAAAACAGATCCTCATGAAGATGCTAAATTGCCCAAGCTGAGCTGAAATTTGCAATCCTGCTTCAGCCTTCCAGAGGGCTGGACTCATAGGCAGGCACTACCACACCCCACTGATAGCTTTTTAAAAATGAGATCTCAGCTGGGCATGGTGGCGCACGCCTATCATCTCAGCACTAGGGAGGCTGAGGCAGGAGGATCACTGCAAGTTCAAGACCAGCCTGGGCTACAGAAGTGAGTTCAAAGGCTGGCCTGAACTGCATAGCGAGACCCTGCCCCCCAAAAGACAAAAGATAAAAATGAGATCTTGCGAACAGTAAAGTGGTTAAAATCTGTTCCCATCAACATAGAACACTTCTAAAACTAAATACCCAGAAAAAAAAAATAGTATTTTTAAGTGATTTGCTTCTGGGGGTCAACAGCCATTAAGAAGCTCTCTGTCCTGGGGGTGGGGAGATGGCTCAGTAGAATAAGCGCTTGCTTGGCAAGTGCAAGGGCCTGAGTTCAATCCCCAGTTCCACAGGGGGAAAAAAAAAAAAAAAGACATTCTCTGTCCTCACATCCTGCTAAATGAATGTGTCGGTCACATTTTCTTCCTTCTCAGAATTAATTGAATACTTTAAGTCTCAGATGAAAGAGGATCCTGATATGGCCTCAGCAGTGGCTGCTATCCGGACTTTGCTGGAGTTCTTGAAGAGAGATAAAGGTAAAAGCCATCTTTGAACACTCTGGACCTTAGGAAGGTCTTCTGAGGATCAGAAATGTAGAAACTGGGCCGGCAAGATAGCTCAGTGGACTAAGCCCCTGCTTAGGCAAGTGTGGGACTGGGTTTCCATCCTGGCACCACATGATGCATCGGCCCAGCCCCTGGGCGCACTGAGCCAGCCACTGAGACCAGGCATGGTGGTGGATGCCTGTAATCCCAGTACTGGAGAGGCTGAAAACGGGGATCACTATAAGTCAGAGCTGTGTAGTGAGACCTTGTACAAATACATTAAAAAAAAACAAAGAAATGTAGAAACTGAAAGATATATATTGTCTGCATGAAGTGATGCAGCCTAAGTGTAGCCTCTGCCTACAACTCAAGCCTTCTTCTCTTGGACAGGACCCTCACATTATCATCTGAGGTCCCTTCTGTAAATAGGATATGGGTTTGTTTTTGGCAGAACCAGGGATTGAACTTACACTTGCCAGGCAAGCACTTATTCTACTGAGCCATCTCTCTGGCCCTGGGATATGCTTTGAATCAAGAGTGACCCCTAATATCTAATGTTACATTAACCATAGACCCGGGGAGATAGCCTGCCTGGCAAGAGCAGGGTCCTGAGTTCAAGCCCCAGTCCTGCAAAAAAGAAAGTGAAAATTCTACACATTAACATGAACCATGGAGCTCAAGGCAGAAGAGCTGAACTTTATAGATGTTTCTTGAGCTCCTGCCTTGGCCCAGATTCTGTGCAGTCCTACGGAGGATAGTGTAGGGTAAATCCAGGTAGTGATGTCGTCGTCATGATTTACTAATTCAGCCTCTTAAGCATAGTCATCTGGGAGTACATAGCAAGACTCTTGTACAAGCAAAGTAATGATAATAACAGCATCTCCGTCTGAAGGGCCAGCCCGCAGTCCAACGTTTCTGTCTCCCGTGTCCTCCAACTGTACTTCAGTGCCACCCCAACACCTCGGGCTCCCTTGTGCGGTCCTGCAGACCTCATCGGCCTCTGCTGCTTAGTGCCTTCTGTGCTGTCCTCCCTGACCTGGGTGTCAGCCCTGCTGGCTTTGTTGTGGCTTATACCAAACTTACTCCCTTCATGGGGTTTTGCACTGTTCCGCGCTGTGCCTAGCACCTTCACATTGGGTCTTTATGTGGCTAAGTCCTTTCCTGCTGGGCTCAATTTAAGCAGCCCTCACCGTTTTACACAAGCCCCAGTTTCGCCAAGATTCTGCTGCTTTCTGTCCTAATTACAATCTGTGATACCCTTGCCATAGCTTTGTGTGCTGTTCGTTTTCTACATTCTCCATTACCCAGAGCACGGCCTCATTTGCTGATGGATTCCACATGCCCACAGCAGTGTCCGGCCACAGATGCACCCACTGCTTCTTCATGCTATGAATAAATCCGTGAATGACAGGCCCAGCCAGGGCTATGACCCTAATGAACACCACCTTCCTTGTCTGATCATTACAGGGGAGACAATCCAGGGCCTGAGAGCGAATCTCACCAATGCCATCGAGACGCTCTGTGGTGTGGACTCCTCGGTGGCCGTGTCCTCCGGCGGGGAGCTCTTCCTCCGCTTCATCAGCCTCGCCTCCTTAGAGTACTCCGTAAGCCCCATGCTCCCTCCTCACCTTCCCGCTTCCCTGCTTCCCTGCAGCAACTCTCAGCTGTAGCTCTGTCTGCTCTCTTCTGCTCTTTTCTTCTTCCTAGGACTACTCCAAATGTAAAAAGATCATGATTGAGCGGGGAGAGCTGTTTCTCAGGAGAATATCCTTGTCAAGAAATAAAATCGCCGATCTGTGCCATACATTCATCAAAGACGGGGCTGTAAGTAGACCTGTGCTGCACGCAGTAATCAGGAGCCAAGGGCCTCGGAATCAGACTGCTGGGGCTGAGCTCCTGGCGCCCTTATCACTGGCTGGGTCACAGTGGGCAGCTTGCTTAACCTCTGTGCTGCAGTTTTCTCATCTGTGAATAAGGGGAGCAACAGGGTTGTTGCTAGGGTTACATGAGATGGGAAGCAAGGACTCAGTGCTCTGTGAATGCAGACGGCATCATTGTAGACGCCTGTCACTGTCACATGGCATGGGGCAGGGGATGAACTGAGTGTAGAGTATTTGTCTAGCAAGATGTCCTGCAGTAGTTTTCAGATTGGCTGTGTAATTCATTAAATCCACGTAGGCAGGCTCTTTTCTTTTCACCAGTTAACACCCAGCATCCTCCAGGCAATGGTTGCCACTGGGTGGAGATTTCCTTTGTACCTTTGTTTCTGACACTCTTAGGTGGGGCAGAGCTGCAGAGCATTCCTTCGAGTGCAACCAGGGTGCTAAAACTCTGATGATATCTCTGCCAACCCCAGCTCTGCCCCCGCTCACCATACAAGTATTACCTTGCTTCCTGACTCTTCTGTTTTATTGTGTCCTTCTGAGTCTTCAGAGTACATTATTAAATAAATGACATATCTGGGTGTGGTAGCACACACCTATAATCCCAGTATTCTGGGAAGCTCTCACAGGAGGATCCTGAAGTCCAGCCCAGCCTGGGCAACTTAGAAAGTCCCCATCTCAGAATAAAAAATAAAAAAGGCTAGGGATATAGCTTAGCATGGACCTGGGTTCAGTTCCCCATGCTGCCCAGTACGACTTTTATCAATTTGAAAATGGGCTTGAAACTCTGTCCTATTACGGCCCCTTCTAGTTCTGGTCTGATTTGTGTGAAGGCACACAGAGCCTTAGGGTGCTGGGAACCTGGCTTGCAGGCCCATCAGGCGCCATCCACTGACCAGGATCTCCCTCCGCAGCGAATCCTGACTCACGCCTACTCCAGAGTGGTCCTGCGAGTCCTGGAAGCAGCTGTGGCAGCCAAGAAGCGCTTCCACGTGTACATCACAGAGTCCCAGCCCGACCTGTCAGGGCAAGTGTTTTCCCCACTCGCTTCCGGGCTCCAGCAATGCTTCAGAGCCAGTGGAGGGTGGGACCCATCCTGCAGGGACAGCATGTACCTGGGGCACAGTAACACACACAGGGTTTGGTTGTATTTAAGGAATTAAATCAGTGTAAGAGATTGTGTTGAATTCAATTGCCCATTGAGAAGTAGGTAATTCACAGAAGATAATAAAAGGCAGGCTTTCTCTTTTTTTCCTGAATTTGTATCTCCTGCCCAGAGGTCCCAAGAGTGTAACTTCTGGAAATTTGTGCTCATTTTTCCTGAGAGCCCCCGTTCTCCTCTTGTTAGCTCAGAACCTCCATACATTTATATTAACTGAAGTTCAAGCTCACGTTTATTGCTAAGTTAAGTGACTCGTCATACATCACATGGGACTTTCTGGCCTTTATTTCATGTTCTCAAAATATCGTCTTCAGTAAGAAAATGGCTAAAGCCCTCCGCCACCTCAATGTCCCTGTCACTGTGGTGCTGGATGCTGCTGTTGGGTAAGTTCCCTGTGCCTTGGCCTGTCCTTGCCCATCCTGGGGCTGGCCCCAAGGGAATATTCAGATTGCAGGGTTAAGACCCACTCTGACTCTGCTGTGGGTACCTCTTCATTACTAGCTGCCCTGACCAGTGTGCTGGTGCCACGAGATCCCAGTGGTACACAGGAAACATGGGGTGCAGTCAGGGAGGAGCTGTCCGGGTCAGCACTTTTAAAGAGCAAAATGCCAAGGTCACAGTAGGGTCAGCAGCAGGGTGACCTGTGCCCCTTTAGTTTCCATCACCTTGAACCACTGGGAATACATTCATGACTATCCAGTGGGGTGGCTCACGTTGCCAGACGGAAATGTCCCATGCTGCCTGATTGGACAGTTGCACATATACATGGGACAGTTGTGCATGGATCACTGATGGCTCAAAGCCGCCCACCAGCTAAGATCACTAATTACAGCGCCAGGTGAGCATGCCCAGGCCATACTCGGAGCCCAGGCAGCCCATCTGCTGTATCACGAGAACACAGTGCTCAGAGCCACTTGGAAAGAAAGCATAGTGCAGCAAGTTAGAAATCAGTTGAGAGTAAGCATTTTGAAAGCCAGGTTCAGGTGCTCTGTAATCCCAACACAAAAGGATTGCTACAAATTGGAGTCCAGCCTGGGCTGCACAGTGCATTCAAGCCAGCCTAAACCTCATAGTGAGACTCTGTCTCAAATAAAAAAAAACAAAAAGACTAAACATGTTGAATAATTTACAACATTATTTTAGTGTGTGTGTGTGTGTGTGTGTGTGTGTGTGTGTGTGTAACCAGGGATTGAACTCAGGCCCTTGCACTTGCCAGGGAAAAACTAGTGATTTTTTGTTTATTTGTTTTGTTTTTTTGAGAACTGGGGGTTGAACTCAGGCCCTTGCGCCTGCCAGGGAAGCACTTAATCTACTGAGCCATCTCATCGGCCCCCGAACTAGTGATTTTAAAAGGAAAATTGTCTCTACCCAATTTTTTTTCCTCTTGGTACCAGGACCTCTCCAGGTGCCTCTTCATGAGCTATATTCCTATCCCTTTTTTAATTTTTTATTTTGAGACAACATCTAAGTTGCCCAGACTGGGTTTGAATTTGCAATCTTCCTGCCTCAGGCTTCCAGAGTTCTGGGAGATTACATGCGTGCAACACCACACTTAACAAGAAAGAGTCTTAAATTGAGGAACACGTGATTCCAACTTCTGAGTTCAGGTCTTTAAAGCTGAGTTTTGTGTGGAAGTAAAACAGAAGCTAGCACGTCTCACAGCCATGCGGCTAAGTGCTGTCACACAGCTGTGGCTCCAGGCATGTAAGTGTGCACACAGGCTGGTTCCAGCATGAAGCATCTATCAGATCATGAGGTCATGATCAAAAAAGGTCTTTGGCTGGGCGTGGTGGCACACACATCTGTAAGCCCAGCACTCAGCAGATACCGGAGGGTCAGCCTGGGCTACAAAGGGAGTTTAAGGCCAGGCTGAACTGTACAGCGAGAGCCTGTCTCAAAAAATTTTTTTAACTGCTGTGTCTTCTTACCTAATCTCTGAGTCTCAATTCTTTGGTTTTTTTTGCATTTTCCCAGCTACATCATGGAGAAGGCAGATCTGGTCATCGTGGGCGCAGAAGGTGTGGTTGAGAACGGAGGCATCATTAACAAGGTGGGACGCTCAGGGTGCAGGGCAACAGCATGTGCGTCCCTTCTCCTCCTGGTTGTCCTGAGCCTCAGCCGATCCACTGCATTGGCCAGCCAAACTGGTCTGGACAGCAAGAGCTTGTCTCAAAATAAATGAAAAAGGCTGGGTGTAGCTCCGAGGTAGGGCACTTGCTTGCCTCGTGCGTGCGAGGCCCTCCGTTAAATCGCTAGTGCTGCAGCAAACAAGCGGTCCTGGCGCACTTAGCTTTTTTTTTTTTTGGTCTTTTGAGACAGGGTCTCATTATGCAGGTCAGGCTGGCCTTGAACTCACTTTGTAGCCCAAGCAGGTCTCAAGTTTGCAATGATCCTCCTGCCTCAGCCTCATGAGCTTAGGTGACAGGCATATGCCACCATGCCCGGCTACACTTAGCTTTTTGAGTTGGACCCGTTTCCCAGTGGCTCACTGTCTGCGCTGTGCAGGCACTTCAGGATGCCACTCATTCCAACCACATCGAAGCAGTTCTCCCGAGGGTCATCTGGGCCAACCCTGCTTTGGCTTTTGCAGGCCCACCCTGTGGCCTGCATCTGTGAACAAGAATCAGAGTCCCTAGGATATGTAAACTGCTATGGTTTTGATTGTTTCCCTTGTAACCAGTAGTCCCAAGTGTCTTTCCCATGCGTAGGAGCCCTTCGTGTATCTTTTTTTTTTTTTTTTTCCCTTTGTGTATCTTTAGAGAAATATTTCCAAAGGTCCCAATTCCAAAGCCAGAATTATATGTATTATGTTGATTCCTTTTTTTTTTTAATATTTATTTTTATTTATTACATTTATTTAT